TGCATGACAGTGTCTTCCATTGCAGACACTGCAAGACTTCAGGCGGACATCAACCAAATCTTTAAATGGGTTGCAGAAAACAATATGAAGTTCAATGATGAGAAATTTCAATTACACCGATATGGAAAACGTGAGGAAATTAAAACTACATCGGAGTATTAAACAAATTCCAATCCCACAATAGAACGAAAAACTGCCAAAGACCTGGGAGTGATCATGTCAGAGGATCTCACCTTCAAGGACCATAACACTATATCAATCGCATCTGCTAGAAAAATGACAGGATGGATAATGAGAACCTTCAGAACCAGGGATGCCAAGCCTATGATGACACTCTTCAGGTCGCTTGTTCTGTCTAGGCTGGAATATTGCTGCACACTAACAGCACCTTTCAAGGCAGGTGAAATTGCTGACCTAGAAAATGTACAGAGAACCTTCACGGCACACCTAACTGAGATAAAACACCTCAATTCCTGGGAATACTTGAAGTTCTTCCACCTGTACTCCCTAGAACGCAGGAGGGAGAGATACATGATTATATACACCTGGAAAATCCTAGAGGGATTAGTACCAAACTTGCACACGAAAATCAGTCCCTATCAAAGCAAAAGTCTCGGCAGACGATGCAACATCCCCCCAATGAAAAGCAGGGATGCCACTAGCACGATAAGAGACAACACAATAAGTGTCAGGGGCCTAGGACTGTTCAACTGCCCCCCAGCATACATAAGGGGGATTACCAATAGACCCCTGGCTGTCTTCAAGCAGGCACTAGACAAGCACTTAAAGCCAGTACCTGACCAGCCAGGTTGTGGTTTGTACGTTGGATTGCGTGCGGTTAGCAGTAACAGCCTGGTTGATCAGGCCCTGATCCACCATGAGGCCTGGCCACAGACCGGGCCGCGGGGGCATTGACCCCTGGAACTCTCTCCAGGTATACTCCAGACATACCTTAGCTCGAGTGGTAATACACTCAGCTCACACAATGATGTCCACCTGGAGTTTACCTGGAGAGAGTTCCGGGAGTCAACGCCCCCGCGGCCCGGTCTGTGACCAGGCCTCCTGGTGGATCAGAGCCTGATCAACCAGGCTGTTGCTGCTGGCTGCACGCAAACCAACGTACGAGCCACAGCCCGGCTGATCCGGAACTGACTTTAGGTGCTTGTCCAGTGCCAGCTTGAAGACTGCCAGGGGTCTGTTGGTAATCCCCCTTATGTGTGCTGGGAGGCAGTTGAACAGTCTTGGGCCCCTGACACTTATTGTATTGTCTCTTAACGTGCTAGTGACACCCCTGCTTTTCATTGGGGGGATGTTGCATCGTCTGCCAAGTCGATTCCCGGTACTGGTGAAAACATTAAGACGTGTTTCCTTAAGACACCTGCTGTCCATGTTCACCTAGCAGTAAAATAGGTACCTGGGTGTTATGGACTGGTGTGGGTCGCATCCTGGGACAAAACTGACCTAATTTTCCCGATGCAACATCCCAGCAATTCCAGGAACAGCTGTTAAAAATTGACCACTGTCTGGAAAACCTTCCAGCTCCTGCACCCAACATCTTGCTCCTGGGGGATTTCAACTTAAGGCACCTAAAATGGAGGAATATAGCAAATAATATTGTTGCAGTAATAACACCAGGAGGCAGCTCTGATGAAAACTCACACTCACGCGAGCTTTTAAATCTCTGCACAAAATCAATTTAAACCAGCAAATAATAGAGCCTACTAGACTGGAGAATACACTAGACCTCATCTTCACTAACAATGATGATCTGATAAGAAATATCACCATATCAAAAACAATATACTCAGATCACAACATAATTGAGGTTCAGTCATGTATGCGCGGAGCCCCAGACCGACATAATGAGATTAGTCACGAGGGAGCATTCACCAAATTCAACTTCAATAACAAAAACATAAAGTGGGACCAAGTAAACCAAGTCCTAACCAATATAAGCTGGGAAGATATACTAAGCAACACAGACCCCAACTTATGCCTAGAACAGATTAACTCGGTAGCACTCGATGTATGCACAAGGCTTATTCCTCTAAGAAAAAGGAGGAGTAGATGTAAAACAGAAAGAGACAGGCGCTCCCTTTACAGGCGACGGAAAAGAATAACAGAGCGGCTAAAAGAGGTCAATATATCTGAAATGCGTAGGGAGACACTGGTCAGAGAAATAGCAAGCATCGAACTTAAGCTAAAAGAATCCTTTAGGAGTCAGGAATCGCGGAAGAAACTAAAAGCCATAAATGAAATCGAAAAAAAACCCAAAGTATTTCTTCTCCTATGCCAAATCAAAATCGAGAACAACGTCCAGTATTGGGCCTCTACTTAAACAAGATGGGTCCTACACAGATGACAACAAGGAAATGAGTGAGCTACTCAAGTCCCAATATGACTCAGTTTTAGCAAGCCGCTAACCAGACTGAGAGTCAAGATCAAAATGAATTTTTTATGAGAGAGCCACAAAAATTTGATTAACACAAGCCTATCCGATGTTATCCTGACGCCAAATGACTTCGAACAGGCGATAAATGACATGCCCATGCACTCTGCCCCAGGGCCAGACTCATGGAACTCTGTGTTCATCAAGAACTGCAAGAAGCCCCTATCACGACCCTTTTTTCCATCCTATGGAGAGGGAGCATGGACACGGGGTCGTCCCACAGTTACTAAAAACAACAGACATAGCCCCACTCCACAAAGGGGGCAGTAAAGCAACAGCAAAGAACTACAGCCCAATAGCACTAACATCCATATCATAAAAATCTTTGAAAGGGTCCTAAGAAGCAAGATCACCACGCATCTAGAAAACCCATCAGTTACACAACCCAGGGCAACATGGGTTTAGAACAGGTCGCTCCTGTCTGTCTCAACTATTGGACCACTACGACAAGGTCCTAAATGCACTAGAAGACAAAAAAATGCAGATGTAATATATACAGACTTTGCAAAAGCCTTCGACAAGTGTGACCATGGCTTAATAGCGCACACAAAATGCGTGCTAAAGGAATAACAGGAAAAGTCGGTCGATGGATCTATAATTTCCTCACTAACAGAACACAGAGAGTTAGTCGTCAACAGAGTAAAGTCCGAGGCAGCTACGGTGAAAAGCTCTGTTCCACAAGGCACAGTACTCGCTCCCATCTTGTTCCTCATCCTTATATCCGACATAGACAAGGATGTCAGCCACAGCACCGTGTCTTCCTTTGCAGATGACACCCGAATCTGCATGACAGTGTCTTCCATTGCAGACACTGCAAAGCTCCAGGCAGACATCAACCAAATCTTTCAGTGGGCTGCAGAAAACAATATGAAGTTCAACGATGAGAAATTTCAATTACTCAGATATGGTAAACATGAGGAAATTAAATCTTCATCAGAGTACAAAACAAATTCTGGCCACAAAATAGAGCGAAACACCAACGTCAAAGACCTGGGAGTGATCATGTCGGAGGATCTCACCTTCAAGGACCATAACATTGTATCAATCGCATCTGCTAGAAAAATGACAGGATGGATAATGAGAACCTTCAAAACTAGGGAGGCCAAGCCATGATGACACTCTTCAGGTCACTTGTTCTATCTAGGCTGGAATATTGCTGCACACTAACAGCACTTTCAAGGCAGGTGAAATTGCCGACCTAGAAAATGTACAGAGAACTTTCACGGCGCGCATAACGGAGATAAAACACCTCAATTATTGGGAGCGCTTGAGGTTCCTAAACCTGTATTCCCTGGAACGCAGGAGGGAGATGATACATGATTATATTACACCTGGAAAATCCTAGAGGGACTAGTACCGAACTTGCACATCGAAAATCACCCACTACGATAAGCAATAAGACTTGGCAGACAGATGCACCATCCCCCCATGAAAACGCAGGGGTGTCACTAGCACGTTAAGAGACCATACAATAGATGCAGGGGCCGAGACATGTTCAACATGCCTCACCAGCATCACATAAGGGGGATTACCACAGACCCTGCAGTCTTCAAGCTGGCACTGGACAGCACCTAAAGTCAGTTCCGGATCAGCCGGGCTGTGGCTCGTATGTTGGTTTGCGTGCAGCCAGCAGCAACAGCCTGGATTGATCAGGCTCTGATCCACCATGGCTGGTCTCAGACCGGGCCGCGGGGGACGTTGACCCCGGGAACTCTTCCAGTAAACTCCATAAACATCCCCTCTCCATAACAAGTGGCTTTCTGTATAGTAGTATGTCACTGATGTCAGCTAGGACTGTATACCTTGTACATGTACTTGTAGAAATAAGATATTATTATATTATTTATTATTATATATTAATTATTATTATTATATATTATTATTATTATTATTATTTCTTTTTTATTATTTTAATTATTATCTATTATTACTATTATCATGTCATCTCTGACCATCACCATCATCATGATCATCATTATCATCATCATGATCATCATCACCATCATCATCATCATCATCACCATCATCACCATCATCACTATCATCACTATCATCATCACTATCATCATCACTATCATCACTATCATCATCATCACCACCATCATCACCATCATCATCACCATCCACACTATCATACATCACCATCATCATCATCATCACCATCATCATCACCATCATCACCATCATCATCACTATCATCACTATCATCATCACTATTCATCATCACTATCATCATCCCTAAACATCATCACCATCATCACCATCATCACTATCATCATCACCATCATCACCATCATCACATCATCATCATCTCCATCATCACCATCATCGTCATCATCATCATTACCATCATCACCATCATCATCATCATCACCATCATCACCATCATCATCATCATCATCACCATCATCATCACCATCATCATCATCATCATCATCATCATCATCATCACTATCATCATCATCATCACTATCACCATCATCATCATCACCATCATCATCACCATCATCATCACCATCATCATCATCATGACGCCTGGCTGGACGCTGGTGAGCCGTCAGTGGCTCTTATAAACCCAACAAGGAGGTGAAGACGTGTCCTGAGATAAGATTGATCTGTCTTGTGGAGAACATTTATCATTACTTGTGGTCATCAGGAGGTGAAGGAGCCTCAGTGTCAGCCACAATTATCCTCAGGAAGAAGAAGAAACACAATGGCTGGCAATTTCTGGCAAAGTGCTCATTAGTAAGTTCGAGGCGACTTTATTATTTATTTAAATTATTTTTTGACAATGAGTGACAAATTTTATTTCCTAATAATATATTATGCAATTATAATAGTTTTTAACTGACATGTATAAATTACAGAAAGTTCTTTGTTATTCAGAGCATTTTGGACAGTCTTGGAATTAGCTTATAACAATTAATTACCATATTATCAGTTTAAGAAAGTAATGCCTTCAAGGTGCGTTGACGCCGGTGAAGAGCTCTTGATCCAGGAATTAGAGCTGCTCTGAACTTTCTTGTATTGAATGTAATTGCTTCTCATTGCCCTGTCTCCAGGTGTTTAACCTTTGTGGGTTTAGCGCTAACCTGTGAATGCAATGCTAGTAATCCTCTTGGCTGTTGATCCAAGGGATTGGACATGTCCTCTCCAAATTACCATATGGATCAAACTTGATTAGCTCCCATTCCCCAGGTGCTCTATATTTAACCCTTTTAGGTGTGCTGTGGCCTGGTGGCTAAAGCTCTCGCTTCACACGGTGATAGTCCGTGTTCGATTCCCGGTGAGGGTAGAAACATTGGACATATTTCTTTACACCAGTTGTCTATGTTCCCCATCAGTAAAATGAGGGAGTTAGTGGACTGGTGAGGGTCGCATCCTGGGACAAAACTGACCTAATTTGCCCGAAATGCACAGCATAACAAGCGGCTTTCTATACAGTAGTATGTCACTGATGTCAGCTAGGACTGTATACCTTGTACATGTACTTGTAGTAAATAAATATATTATTATTATTATTACCTCCCTAATAATAATAATAATTAATAATAATAATAATAATAATAATAATAATAATAATAATAATACCTTTCCTTAGATCTAATCTTATTACCTATTCTCTCTCTCTCTCTCTTTCTCTCTCCCTCCCTCCCTCCCCAGGTGCTGCATGACCCCCTGTGGGTTTAGTGCTTCCCATGAATGTAATAATCGTATTTCCTGAACATTTTTATTCCCACTTGTTGGCTTTTACCATTGTTTACCTACTACTACTTGCACCCAGTTCACACTGTGTATGATAATTATACTTATGTGTACCTATGCCTAAATGTACTTACTGACTGAGAATGTACTTGTAGATGTATACTCACTCATCTAAATTTCCTTTTACTTTCTTAATAGTTCTTCCCCTTGTTGTGTTTCCTTTCAATTCCATGGATCATTGGATTAGAATCCTTTCCCCACAAGCAATGTGTGTTGTAGTAGGTGACAAAATGACTGGAGACAAGGGGCTGGTAGCCCTTGATTGTGTATCAGTTATGAAAAAACAGTGAAGAACTTTTTTGTTTTGCTTGTTCATTATAAATTTTCAGCTAACAATATAAATATATTTTTTAAAATGCAGTATTCCATTTTGCAGTCAGCAGTGGCTCTTGGATGGTCAGGACTTGATCCAGGAGCGACGGGCGGATCTGGAGGTCCTTACCGAAGAAGAGTATCATAAAGTCATGATTTTCTTTGCCAATTGTAAGTATTGATCGTGTCATGGGATGAATTAAGTTAGTAAGTTTATTTAGGTTCAGGTATGCATAAGCACAATTATCATAAATAGCATTGTATGTGTAAATTATCCAAGATAACCCCCCAAAAAAAATCAGAGTGACTTATTTCCATTGGGGTTCTTGTAACATCTTATTATTTAAAGCCTGGCAGTAAGTTAAAGTAGAAATCAGTCGTGCTTATGACCTTAAAAATTAAAACAGTTGCTAAATGTTAAAAAAGTTTTTATCCATTTTATCCTGTTTTCAGTTTAATTTTTGTTGTTATTATGTAATAATTTTCCTTTCTGTTCTAGCCATTCTTCGTTCCTCAAATCTTGCATGTTACAGTAGATGACTACAGTACTTAGATTTTTTTTTTTATTTTGACAGTTTATAAAGATCAGACCTATAGATGCTGGTGAAGGGATCTTGGTTCAAAGAATGGGAGCTACTGTTCCCTGGGATCAAACCTGATTACCTCCCATTCCCTAGCTAATGTACTACCTTATGGTTTTAGTCTTACATCTTCTTTCAACAAATCAGCCGTATCCCACTGAGGCAGGGTGACCTAAAAAGAAAAACAAAAGTTTCTCCTTGGAAATTTAGTAATTTATACAGGAGAAGAGGTTACTAGCCTCTTACTCCTGGCATTTTAGTCACCTCTTACAACACGCATGGCTTACGGAGGAAGAATTCATTTTTACTTCCCAATGCTTACATATGACCATAATAATTATAATGATCGCTTTTTGTGTACTTAATGCAGTATTATTAAATAATTTTTATTACAAGGTGTTGAATTATATTTGATATTTGTTTATTTTCTTGTTTGCTTGATTCAAAGTAGCTTTTGAAAATTGTGGATCATTCACAGGTCCTTAACTACCCTCCTCTTCCATGGATCAAATCAGATAACTTCCCATTCCGAGGCTCTGTTTGACTCGTACAGATTTAGCACTTCCTCATGAATATGATAATGACAATAATACAGTGGAACCTTGACTTACGAGTTTAATCCGTTCTGTGACCTAGCTCGTAACTCAGTTTGCTCATATATCAAATCAATTTTCCTCATTTAAATTAATTGAAATGCAATTAATCCGTCCCAGCAGCAGGACAAAATATTTCAATATAATGCTATCAACTCTATGGCTTATTTATCTATCACAGTTCATCTAATTAGATTAGTCCGTTTCAAACCCCCAAAAATTCACTTACAAAAGCACTTACAAAAATACACTTACAAAAATACACTTACAAAAATACACTTACAAAAATACACTTACATAATCGTTCGAGTTGGGAGCTGTTCGAAACTCGAGGTACCACTGTATATGCACACCACTGAGTTTTCTTCTATTTTCTTACTAGTTCTTGTTCTTGTTTATTTCCTCTTATCTCCATGGGGAAGTGGAACAGAATTCTTCCTCGGTAAGGCATGTCGTAAGAGGTGACTAAAATACCAGGAGAAAGGGGCTAGTAACCCCTTCTCCTGTATTCATTACTAAAGTTAAAAAGAGAAACTTTTTTTTTCTTTTTTGGGCCACCCTGCCTCAGTGGGATACGGCTGGTTTGTTGAAAGAAGAATTCATCTAATATGATATAAAACAATATAATTAACAGAGAAACATGATATGTACTGTAGAATAAATAAAATAGGCCATACTATGACGAGTGATGATGGCGGCGGAAGCGGTGGCAGCGTCCGCGTTTCAGTCCTTTTTCTATTGCTTAATCACATAACTAACTTGCTATACTCTTAATGCTACACTTTATCACTGAACTTAACTGATACAATTTGTTTTGTTTGATCGCTGAACTTAACTGATACAATTTGCTTTAATTCCATGGAAATCATCCTCTTTTTCTTCTCAGCGCTGTCTTTTCGCACTTATTTTCTTAGGACACATGGTTAGAAAAAAGAAATTTGGCTAAATGACTGTAAAAAAATGCAAACAAGCACGAGAGAACTGCTCCCACGGCGATGTAAACATGTGGACTCCTTACCGGATGTTTTGCCATCTGCTGTGCCAACTAGTAGCAGCATTCTGAATTATTATTACATGTTACATGCGTATGTATGTATGTATTATTATTATTATTACAGTGGACCCCCGACATTCGATGGCATCGACATTCGATAAATCCGACATTCGATGCATTTTAACGCAAAAATTTTGCCTCGACATTCGATGGAAAACCCGACATTTGATACGATTCGTACGAGACGTGTCCACGTGTGGCCTGAACTTCCCCGTTGTGTGCCAGTGTTTACAAGCCAGCCAGTGTGCGCACATCTAAGGATACATTCGGTACATTCCATATTATCACTGTTTTTGGTGCTTGTTTCTGCAAAATAAGTAACCATGGGCCCCAAGAAAGCTTCTAGTGCCAAGCCTTCGAGAAAAAAGGTGCTAGTGACTATTGAAATGAAGAAAGAGATAATTGCAAAGTACGAAAGTGGAGAGCGTGTGTCAGAGCTGGCCAGGTTGTATAGTAAACCCCAATCAACCATCTCTGCTATAGTGAGCAGGAAAACGGCAATCGAAGCTGTTGTTGTAAAAGGTGCAACTTTGTTTTTGAAACAGAGATCGCTAGTGTTAGAAGATGTTGAGAGACTGTTATTGGTGTGGATAAATGAAAAACAGATAGCAGGAGATAGCATCTCTCAAGCAATCATATGTGAAAAGGCTTGGCAGTTGCATGATGATTTGGTAAAGAAATTGCCTGCAACTAGTGGTGATGTGAGTGAATGTAAGGCCAGCAAAGGTTGGTTTGAAAGATTTAAGAATCGTAGTGGCATACACAGTGTGGTAAGGCATGGTGAGGCTGCCAGTTCGGACCACAAAGCGGCTGTAAAATATGTGCATGAATTCAAGGAGTACATAGAGGCTGAAGGATTGAAACCTGAACAAGTGTTTAATTGTGACGAAACAGGCCTGTTTTGGAAGAAATTGCCAAGCAGGACCTACATTACTCAGAGGAAAAGGCACTCCCAGGACATAAGCCTATGATAGACAGGCTTACTCTTCTGATGTGTGCCAATGCTAGTGGTGATTGCAAAGTGAAGCCTTTATTGGTGTATCACTCAGAAACTCCCAGAGCGTTCAGACAAAAGAATATCCTCAAGGCTAATTTGTGTGTGCTGTGGAGGGCAAACAGTAAGGCATGGGTCACTAGGGACTTTTTCTATGACTGGTTACATCATGCATTTGCCCCCACTGTGAAAAATTACCTAATTGTAAAGATATTAGACCTTAAGTGTCTCCTGGTATTAGACAATGCCCCTGCCCATCCTACAGACTTGGCAGAGCAACTATCTGGGGACATGAGCTTCATTAAGGTCAAGTTTTTGCCTCCTAATACCACTCCTCTCCTGCAGCCCATGGACCAGCAGGTCATTTCCAACTTCAAGAAACTGTACACAAAATATGTTTCAAAAGTGCTTTGAAGTGACCACAGAAACTCTACTGACTCTAAAGGAGTTTTGGAAGGATCACTTTAATATCCTCAATTGTGTAAACCTTATAGGTAAGGCTTGGGAGGAAGTGACTAAGAGGACCTTGAACTCTGCTTGGAAAAAACTGTGGCCAGAATGTGTAGACAAAAGGGATTTTGAAGGGTTTGAGGCTAACCCTGAGAATCCTATGCCAATTGAGGAATCCATTGTGGCATTGGAGAAGTCCTTGGGGTTAGAGGTTAGTGGGGAGGATGTGGAAGAGTTGGTGGAGGAGGACAGTGATGAACTAACCACTGATGAGCTGCTAGATCATCTTCAACAGCAAGAGACCACACCTGAGGAAACTACTTCGGGGGAGGGGATAGAGAAATTGAAGAAGTTGCCTACTTCAAAGATTAAGGAAATGTGTGCAAAGTGGCTTGAAGTGCAAACCTTTTTTGATGACAATCACCCTAACACAGCTATTGCAAGCCATGCTGGTGACTATTACACTGACAATGTTGTGAACCATTTTAGGAAAGTCATGAAGGAACGAGAGGTACAGGCCTCTATGGACAGATATGTTGTGCAACAGAAGTCCAGTGACTCTCAAGCTGGTCCTAGTGGCATTAAAAGAAGAAGGGAAGTAACCCCAGAAAAGGACTTGCTACCTCAAGTCCTAATGGAAGGGGATTCCCTTTCTAAACACTAACACCATCCACACTCTCCCCTCCTCCCATCCCATCAATCATCACCAGATCTTCATTAAAGGTAAGTGTCAATTATTCTATTGTTATTAATGTATTGTTATTGTTGTTATTGTAATTATTCTATTGCATTAAACTTAATATTTCATGTGGTAAATTTTTTTTTCATACTTTTTGGTGTCTTGCACGGATTAATTTGATTTCCATTATTTCTTATGGGGAAAATTAATTCGACTTTCAATATTTTCGACATTTGATAGCTCTCGGGAACGGATTAGTATCGAATGTCGAGGGTCCACTGTATATGTATTTATTATTATTATTAATTTAGGGAACTGAAGCTCACTCATTATTATTATTATTATTATTGTTATAATAATAATAATAATACATATGTAATAATAATAACAATAATAATAATAATAATAATAACGAGAGCTTCATAACGCCACTGGCTCGGTGCACTGTTTACCTCGGTGTGGGAGTATTTCTCTCATGCTTTACTTATATTTTTTACAGTCATTTGGCCAAATTTCAGTTTTCTAAGTATTTATTTATTTATTTTATGTCTTTGCAAACAGTATATTGAGATTTTGTATTTACAATAGTGGGTTGCAATGCAAAGAGAGCCTTTATTATGCCTAGGCATTATGGGCCAACTTAACATTATTGGCTGACAGACTACTTAACACTAAGGATTATATCATAGTGGTACAGTAGGATAGTAATTATATCATAGTTGTACAGTAGATTATTAATTATAAGTGAATCTAATTTGTATAAGACAAAAGATATATTCATATATACAAAAATGCTTTTTGTGAAAACAATGATTCAATTATATTCCTGTCAACAATGGATAAAAGGTTCAAAGTGATTGTTGAAGTTATGATGTGGGAGTACATAAGTGAGTACGTGTGTACTGAGTATTTAGCATTTAGTCTGGGGTGATTAAGTGGCTTTTGAGAAGAGTCTTAAATTGATTTTCAGACTGGGTTACTTTAATATCTTTGGTGATGAATTCCATATTTTGGGGCCCTTTATGTGCATAGAGTTTTTACAGTGTGATATGGACACGAGATACATCAAAAAGAGATCTGGGTCTTGCGTTGTGGTCATGTGTTCTGTTTAGGTTGGTGAGAAGCTTGAGTGGAGGGTTTATATTTGCATGTATTGTTCTGTGTAGTAGGCACATGAATAAGTATGGATGTTCTTAATGGTGAGCAGATTCAGACTTTTGAAAATTGATGGAGTATGCTGGCGGGAGTGGGAATTTGTTATCATTCTTACTGCTGGCTTTTACTGGGTTATTAGGGGTTTTAGGTGATTGGAGGTTGTTGATCCTCATGCACAAATTCCATATGTAAGATAAGGGTATATGAGTGAATGGTACAGTGCCAGGAGAGCTGATTGTGGAATGTAGTACCTTATCTTTGATAGTATGCCTACAGTCTTGGAGATTTTCTTAGTGATTTATTGTATGTGTGTCTGGAACTTAAGGCTACTGTCAAGGTGGATCAGTCTTGTGACTGATGATCCGTTTAGCGTTATGTTAATTGGATCATTTGCAGCTTTGTTTCCAAACTGAATGAAATAGTTTTTATCAGTATTCAGGGTAAGTTTATTAGTCATCATCCAGGCAGATATTTTCTGCAATTCAGCATTGACTGTGTTTGCTAGTATGACTGTGTTTGGGTGGGAAAAGACATATGTAGTGTCATCTGCAAATAATATGGATTTGAGTAGCTGTGATGCATTCGGTAGATCATTGATGTAGATGAGAAAGAGGAGTGGTCCAAGGACACTTCCTTGTGGGACTCCTACTGTGATTGGTTGAGTGGAAGAGTTTGCATTGTTTGCATACACATTGAGTTCTGTTACTAAGGTATGATTTTAGGTAATTGAGGGAGTGGCCTCTGATACCATAGTGTGTTATTCTGGAGTACAGCAGTTTATGGTCGACTGTATCAAAAGCTTTATGTAAATCAATGAAAATGCCCAGCGGGACTTCTTTCTTTTCGAGTGTGGTATATATTAGTTCAAGCATGTGTATGATGGCATCATTTGTGCTTTTATTATTCCTGAATCCAAGCTGACAAGGGTTTATATGTTGTGTGAGACGAGGTAGGAATAGATCCATCTATGAATTAATTTTTCAAAGATTTTAGAGAGCAGTGGTAAGTTAGATATTTGTCTGTAGTTATTCAAATCAGCTTGGCCACCTCCTTTGTGGACCGGAGTGACCCTCGCTATTTTGAGGATTGTTGGGAAGGTAGATGATTCAATGGATTTGTTAAAGAGCGTTGCAATAATTGGTGACAATTCTTGAGAAGCTTTTTTGTACATAATAGCAGGCAAGTTGTTTATGTCTCCTGCCTTGTTTTTAAGGGTGTTTATGATGAGCGTAACTTCTGTGGGGTTGTTTGGAGCTAGGAATAGCATATTTGGGTAGGTATCTATGAGGTAGTCTGATGGACGGGTGTTTGCGCTTGGTATTTTGTTCGCTAGATTTTTTCCTGTGGTGGAGAAGAAAACGTTGAGTCTGTTTGCCGTTTCAGTTGGTGTGAGTAGGGGTTCATCTGATTTTGTTAGTTTGATTGTTTTGCTTTTGGATAACTTTTTAGTTCCAAGAATTTCAGATAGAGTTTTCCAGGTTTTTCTCATTCACCTTTGATGTTATGTAATCTGTTTTCATAATACAATTTTTTAGATCTTCTTATCAGGCTGGTAAGTGCTGATGGGTAATGTTTAGACTGTTCTCTAGTTATTTGACCTATTCTATACTGTTAATGGATTTGAGGATGCTTGGTGTTAGCCAGGGATTATTCAGTCTCTTTGCTGTGATCTGTTTAGTTTTTTGGGGACAATGTTTGTTATAGAGGCTTTGGGCTTTTTTTTAGAAAATTATTTATACATTCATTCATATCTGTGTATGTTTTGAGCTCTTTTGCCAATCGATGTTATTCATAGCTGCTATAAAGTTGTTAACTGCTGTCTTGTTATGTAGTCTGAAGGTTACTTTAGTCTTGTGGCAGTTTGCCCAGATTAGTTATGAGAAAGTTTGGGTATTGGTTTGTAGTGTTGTCTGTGATAATGCCTGATTTTAAAGGGGATATGGTGTTTGTCCAAATGTGGTCTATTAAGGAGATGCTTGTCTCAGTGATTCTTGTAGGTTTAGATATTGCTGGTAGCAACAGGCAGTTACTCATTGTGAATTCGGTTACTTGTGGGTCCTGGTCGTGTAGTATGTTTATGTTGAAATCTGTTAGTTGTAGGTGGTCTTTATTCATGTGTGCATCAGTAATCATGTTTCCTAGTTTTTCACTAAAGTGGTAAATGTTTGACTGTGGTACTCTGTAGATGTTTGTAACTGTGAGGGGTTTTTGCAGGTCTTTTGATTTAAATTTGGCTATGATATATTCTCCATGTTCGTCCCTTGTGCGAGATTTACTGATGCATTCGAGTTGATTTGAGTAATACAGTATATAGCTGTTCCTCCCCCTTGCTGGTCTGTTCTACAGTTGTGTATGGCCATATAGCCAGGAATGGTACAGACATCTGTAATATCAGGCTTAAGCCAGGTTTCTGTGAGTGTGATGATTGATGAATTGGAATGAAGGGAATTGAGTAATGCTGTGAGGTCGTCATAATGTTTGCTCAAGGATCTGACATTGTAGTTAAAGATGGTTATGTTATTGTTTGCTCTGAGTAATGTCTTTGCTTGGTCTGCTGTATAGTAATTACAGTTGCTGTTTGATTCGTGTAATTCATTTAGTAAAAAGTTTACATCAGGATCTATGCCTGTATTCATAAGATGAGAGTAATGGGTCCTAAGAAAGTACGTAAATATAAAGGACAGTGCTGAGAAGAAAAAGAGGATAATTTCCATGGAATTAAAGCATGAAATCATAGATAAACAAGCGAGGTGTGCAGGTTTTGGATTGAGGGGTCAGCGGGGGAGCTGACTCGTTATTCAGATGTTGGCTCATAACTCAGAGCAAAAAATCGACCGAACAACGGCTTGTATCTCAAAAAACTCATACATTTGGACACTCGTGAGTTAAGGTTCCAATGTAATAATAATAATTGAATCTTGCTGTGAATATAGTAGTTAAAGCTTAAATGAAACAACTCAATTATTTTGTTTAATTGTTCTTCCTTAATATTGGTTTTATTTCAGTTATTCAGCAGCTGGGTGAAACCCTCAAGTTGCGGCAGCAAGTCATCGCTACAGCAACAACATTTTTGAAGCGGTTCTATGCCAGGAATTCTCTCAAGTGCATTGATCCTCTTCTGCTAGCCCCCACCAGTGTCTTCCTCTCTTCAAAAGTCGAGGAATTTGGAGTCATCTCTAATAGCAGGTTAATCTCCACCTGCCAGACTGTAGGTATGTCAACAGGTCACTCATTTTATACATTCATTATTTTGAAATTTGAAACTAATTGTACATATTTGAATAAACAAAATATTGAATGTGGACTTGAACTGTGGTCCTTGTGCATACTAAGTTTAAGGCTGGTTTATTCATTGACACTCGTTTGTTATGACTCATGGGCTCATGATGGTATTTGTTTGCAGTGGCGTCGCTAGGGTTGGTGTCACCCAGGGTGGAATCTTTGGTGTCACCTGGGGCAGCATCTTTGGTGTCACCCCCATGACATGAAATCCAAAGGTGGGGGGATGGGGGGAGTAAATTCCAGTTACGTCACTACTGCATGACCAATGAATAATGTTTAGCAATGAAAACGTTTAAGGGCCATATACTGAACAGGAGAATACTTCTCAACTTTATTAATAATAAAATAAATAATTGCAGTAATACAGGAAACACAAACTCAAATACCACTTTGAGTACAGGCAACAGATCCTACATTTATTCATTTTCATCAATGCAAAAAAAAAAAAAATGAAAAATAAAGAAAAACATTGCAATATCAGAGAAACACTTAGTTCCAATTTGACCTTGAGTACAGGTAATATCTCAGTGAATCTGATCTTACATTTCCTTGCCTTCAATCCTGCAAAATCATATATCAGATCATGAAAATCAATGATTTTCCCTATTTAGGCCTATTTGTACTCTGTCATCATATAATAGGCTATATAGAAATGAAGGATTTTTTCTCTTATGTTGCTGCAGCACTGTTTTGTGCATTAGTGTCACCTTTAGAGGCTCTGTGGTGTCACCCCCTAAATGGTGTCACCCAGGGCAGCCCCCCCCTTACGATCTTATGACGCCACTGTTTGTTTGGATTATTAACCTAGAGGAACAACCCAGGATATCCCTATGAAGTCATGGTCTCACTGAGGGCTGCTTCTTATTTCCATTGGGGTCCTTTAATTCTCTCCCTCAGGATGCGACCTACACTGATCATCTAACACCCAGGTAACTATTTACATCTAGTGTTAGGAAACATGCCCAATGTTTCCAGTCATTCTAGGGATTGAACCCTAGCCTCTCAGTTTATGAGTTAAGGTCTTTACCAACAGAGCCACAAGAGACCCCACGATCTCTCAAAACTTGTGAGGACCTTATCTCAGGCAAGACCTGTAGACATTACAACATGAGTGTAACTGTTTTGGTAGCTAAAGATCTGTATAGTAATATATAATCACACACACAAAAGAACTCCCAGCCTATAAATTTCATATTCAAATGTATTTTTTTTTTATTTTTCTTCAAACCGGCCATATCCCACCGAGACAGGGTGACCTAAAAAGAATAACAAAAGTGTTTTTAAATTTAGTAAATATTCAAATATATCAATGTATATCACTGGCATCATACACCAACAAGTATGTTAATAAGACACAGTATGACATTTATGACATTTTATTGAGATGTTTCATCCACAAAGGAGTTTATCAATTCTAAAGTTTCTGATGGGTGAAGTGTCTTCTCAATAAACTGCCATAAACCACATGTCTCATTAGTATCTGAAATATTAGTACCTACATTATTCATTACTCTATCCTCACATGAGCAGGCTTATTAGAAATATTAATTTTTTTACTCTTTATCTCCTGTTTCTAGTTTAAATTTTAGGGATCATTGTATGTTAATAATAATCCTTTTTTTTTTTCCTAGCCATTCTTTGCCCTCAGATTGTGCATATTACAGTAGATAACAACTTACAATTTTTTTTTAATTATGATGGTTTATAAAAATCTTTTAATGTCATTTTATCACCATACAACTGAAGTCAATATGATTTTCAGTGAAGAACAAATTTTCGTATGCATACAACTCTGAGTTCCCATACCGGACAAACCACATACTGGAGTGTGAATTTTATTTATTGGAAAGCATGGACTGCTGCCTCATTGTTTACCAACCCTACAGGTGAGCTTATAAAGGATAATTCCTTGATGCTAGTGAAGGGCTCTTGATCTTTGGAATTGGAGCTATCCTCCCCTTCCTCAGATCAAATGCAATTGCCTCCCATTTCAAAGGCACTGTATGACCCCTCTAGGTTTAGCGCTTCTCCACGAATACAATAATTCAATTCCTCGGGAATTCCTGGTGAGAATAGTGGAATCTGCAATAAAAATGGCTTTTGAATTGAAACGTTGTTGATAGCCAAGGCAAACTTGACATCTGCACGTTTGTAAAAAGGCCTTAGAACATTATATATTGCTGTAAAATGCTGCAATGGGAAAATACTGTATATCATATGGATTTTTCTTTCATTTTTACTCTATTAATATTTATATGGATAGTCTTTCAAGGCATTTTATACCAGAGGTCTGGTGTCATGCTTTCCCTTACAATCCGCATTTCCCCAATTAAGCTATTTCCTTTTCCATTGAGATTAATTTTTTAATGGTATCCCAGCAACTCAAGACTCATCAACTACCTTACTAGAAACTATTCCGAGTCCTAGTACTAATCACCAGCCACTCCTCTTGCAATAAATCTCATGTTATCAGTTTGAAATTAGTTAATTAATCAAACTGATTGCCTGCCATTTAAATGCCTTAGCATTGCAAGATTTTTAATCTTATTTTTGTGCCTTGTGAACATGTAAGATTGCAAATCTTGCAGTATATATACTTATTTTTACTTTGCACCAGAATTACATTAGCAACTTACTTCATCCTTGCTAAAAATCACAATACAGTGGACCCCCGCATAATGATTACCTCCAAATGCGACCAATTATGTAAGTGTATTTATGTAAGTGCGTTTGTACGTGTATGTTTGGGGGTCTGAAAGGAATAATCTACTTCACAATATTCCTTATGGGAATAAATTCGGTCAGTACTGGCACCTGAACATACTTATGGAGTGAAAAAATATCGTTAACCGGGGGTCCACTGTATATGTTACATCAACTTAAGGTTATTCAACCTATCTTAGATCAACCTAAATTTAAAATAAATGAAATATATGAATTTTATTAGGTTCATACTGATTATCGTGGAATTATTATTACATATAAATTACATTTGGTTTGTTTTATAAAATAATTGTTTTATAAACAAAGCTTTGGCTTAAAACAATTGTTGCTATATTTTTTGTTTATTTTTCAGGCCCTTAGTTCAGTACATGCAAGATCTTGGTGGGGAGGGTGAGGTGTTGCAGCTAGCTTGGCGCATTGTTAATGACTCTCTACGAACTGATGTTTGCCTCTTGTTTCCTCCATACGAAATTGCTCTCTGTAAGCACAAAAACTTTAAGAATTTAATAATAAGTTTATTCTTTATATTTCTTGATAGCAATCTTTATCTGTATATAAGCAACGTAACATTCCCATACAGATAAAAGGGCTGATGTGACACTCCCTTCGTAAGTAGGATTTATACTTTCACAATTGAGCATTCCTCTCACATGGATATACATCCTCTGACATGTGTACTGTTAGCCCCTAGCATGTAATTGCTTATTTATAATTATATATTCATAGCTACAGGAGATCAGCAAAGCTTGTAGTATATCACTCTCAGTATTTAGTCTATTTGGAAGGTGTAAAATTTCCATTGTTTTGCAAATGCATTAATTTTGTTCTTATCTCTTTTGACATGTTCATATATTGACAACTAATCCAGGCACTGAGATAGTAGTTTTTAAAAATTCTGGTTAATCTATGTGGTTTGGCAGTTGTCTTGTCTCAAAAATCTTTTGTCTGGTGTATTGATGTTCCAGTATTGCTCTGATGTTATTCTTGCTTCAGTAAGATTGAGTCATTGAGGAGGATCAGCGAGGTAATCACTACTTGCTAGTGGCCTAAATTGAACAGAAAGCAAGTACTCACTACTGCTGTTGCCCAGCAAAGGGTATTACTGGTTACCACACCCTTGTATGTCCTTAGACACACTGTCTTGCAACACCCCTCCCTACCATTGGGCTGGCACCACTAACTGGGTTGCTTTTCCTGATTAAACAACAAAAAAACAGAATGTCTCATTAATATGTAGGTATCTCTTGGAGTGTGAGCAGGGTAATATTTAGTGAAGGGATTCAGGGAAACCGGTTATTTTCATATAGTCGGACTTGAGTCCTGGAAATGGGAAGTACAATGCCTGCACTTTAAAGGAGGGGCTTGGGATATTGGCAGTTTGGAGGGATATGTTGTGTATCTTTATACGTATATGCTTCTAAACTGTTGTATTCTGAGAACCTCTGCAAAATCAGTGATAATGTGTGAGTGTGGTGAAAGTGTTGAATGATGATGAAAATATTTTCTTTTTTGGGGATTTTCTTTCTTTTTTGGGTCACCCTGCCTCGGTGGGAGACGGCCGACTTGTTAAAAAAAAAAAAAAAAAAAAATCTCTTGAGGTTTACTTGGCTCCATGCTATGATTTTATTTATTGCTAGTATATCAAAAATAATGTGAGGATGGATGTAATAAAGAAGGGAAGCACCATAAGCACATGTGTGTCACCCTGAAAGTTTCTTCCAGTGAGAACACTAGACATATTTCCACCTAATGCTTTAAAACTACTTGTTTCAATGGATGCATTGATTTGTGTACTGCTCATGAGACTAGTATCCAAATGGGAGGAGAATTAAATTGGTCCCTTAGTTTACCACTTCTCAAATGTGCCCAGTGTTAGGTGGAAATGTGTAGTGTTCTCACTGGACACCTGATGTTTTGTGGCATGGTGTTGTAGTGGTCTAGAGTGTCGAGAGTTTAGCTAGCTTCCAGGGAGGCTGCCCAGATGACTCGGGTTCAAATCCTGACCAGTCACAGTATGTTCTATTCAATACTGTATATACTGGTTGGAAGCACAGTGCATGTGCTCTGAGAGGAGTGGGGATGTTTCAGTTTGGAGAGGCAGTTGAACTGTAATGTCTGCACACTTGTGGCAGGACAGCTACTGAATGAATGATGGTGAATGTGTTTAATTTTTTAGGTCACTTTACCTCAGTTGGAGATGGCTGGTGTGTTAGAAAAATACTGTATTGTACATACTGTTACTCAAGACTACTGGTAATGCATCTATGACAGTAAAATGTGCAGTTTGGTTATCAGTGTTGGTTAAGGGCTTTTGATATTAGAGCTATCTTCACCATTCTTGGATCAAACCTGATTGCTTCCTCCCATTCCCAAGCTGCTATGGATCTTGTATCTTAGGCATTTCTGCATGAATAAAATAATGTAACGCTTCAGTAAGATAATTCTTTGAAATTACAAAAAATAAAAAATTGTTGTAAATTAAATTTTATTGACAAAACAGAAACCATATATTATACTCATTGCAAATTAGTGTATCCCATGAATGTAATAATATCTGTTGCTATTTATTTTCATCATGTATAATATCTTTTTGTTTATTTTCAGCATGTATACACATGGCATGTGTGGTTCATCAGAAAGACTGCAAGCAGTGGTTTGCTGAACTAAACACCGACTTAGATCGTATCATGGAGATCACCCGTTATATACTGAATCTGTACGATCTATGGGAGTCTTATGACGAGCGCAAGGAGATTCAGGGGCTGTTGCAGAAGATGCCCAAACCCAATACTCAGCCAGTCCCTCGGTGATTAGAACCAAATATTGTGTGTGTAAATCCTGTAATAAAAGAATAGAGAGTCACAGTATCGTGGCTGGAACATTCACAGCTAACCTGCGACTAGTTTCAAGGGTTAATTTACTCTGGTACCTGGTTTGAGGTTTGGCTTCATGGTTGACTGCCTGGCCAACAAGGTTTATATGATATTTCAGACAAAACTTTAAATGGCTTTTTTGGTTCATTGTGAACTATTATCTGCTCACAGCATGATAATAGTTCAGGAGATCAAAATGCTGTGTGAAGTTTTCTTTCCAAGTTGTGAATTAGTCAACCCTGAATTTAATGGACTAATAGGGTGGCTTGTAATAGCAGCTGTGGTGGATAGAGATGAGATTGTTCTCCCGTGATCATAACAATAATGGACAATTGTGTAACCAGTGGACTTTGTCTAGTGCTTCCGAATCCGTTTACCCAGCAGATTTTGTCCTACTTAGGTTCATGAAATGGAGGGTTTACTGAATTGATGAAAGATTCTGGTTCTACAAATGTAAGAGATTTTAATCACAGAAGAAGAGGGCAATTAAATAATAATTTTGCTATTATAAATACATTTTAATATAGTACTATATTCCGTTGTTTCTATTGTACTGTCTGTTGCAACTTCACTAGTTTTCTTTCTTATTTTTAATAAGTTAAGATTTTTTTTTTGTTACTGTAGTAACAACACACTCATTGACAAAAGTTCGAAAGATCACATCACTCAAATTGTGAGAAACTTGTATGGTAGGAAGAATACAAAGTCACAACACTGTAGCTGGAACATTTCCCCAAAACCCTGCATTTAGGAGATAAACCTCATGACAGCATTTGTATCCATCCTTGACCATTGTCAAATCACATTGGACTTAAGAATTAGGCTGGATGGACCAAAATGTTGCCATAAGGGTCCTCATAAATGTTTTTGTTTGACTCATATGATACACCGGCAGATTTCAAAATAGTGTGGAAATATATGGCTAGAGAGATGCAGAAAAAAAATTGGTTCAAAAATAACTGTCAAAATTTGGATGCTTTAGAAGTAGTGCTTTGATGGTGTTGAAGGGCTTTTGATCAAAGGAGTTGGAGCTACCCTCCAGTTTCTTAGATCAAACCTGTTTATTCTCCTAGCACTTCCCCATAAATACAATAAAACAATACACATATATTTACTCTATCTTGTTCCACTTTGCTGCCTTCCCTCAAGGGAGGTTCCTTGATGCTGGAGAGGGGCTCCTCTTCAAGGGGGGCTCCTTGGCATGGTGAAGAGGCTCTTGGTCTGAGGAATTAGACCTGTCGGTCTCCTTCCTCAGACCGAATCTAATTACCCCCCCAATCCCCCATTAGCTATCCCATCCTCCCCTTTTTCCTTTCCTCCTCCTCCTCCCTACCCCTCCATTTTGTTCTTCCTTTTTGGCCTTTGGGATTTTTTTTTTTTTTTTTTTCCCACAGGCACGCTAGTTCCTAGGTAGGGGAAAGGGTACCGGGGTCCATCCCATTCCGTTGAGGTTCTTGGCGGTGGCGTAGTTTGCTGTGGAATCTGGATTGCCTGGGGATGTCCCGATCCCTCTCCGCTATCCCGGAGGGTGGCTTTGGGTGTCTCTCGGGCGACGGGTGTATCTCTGGAAGCCACCTTTCGGATTCTGGGGGTGGTGGCCGAAGGAGGTATGCTTTGTGGCAGATTTCCGGCCCCCCTCTCTTTTGTCCACCGAGGTAGCTCGGCAGATGTGAGGTTGCTATCCCGGATTGCCGGTTTACTGGCATGATGGGTAGGGTATGGCATGGGTTCCATGCTGCATCTGCGCTACTTCCGGTGCTGAGGCCCTCTTGGGCGCGGAGGGAGATTTCTGGCCCTTTCATTCCTCCTAGGAACTATCCCTCCCTGGTCCCCCCTTTTTTTATTCTTTTTTTATTTTTATTTTCTTTTCTTCTCTCTTTTTTTTCTTAAAAACAAAAAGAAAGAAGTAACCTAACCATGGCAGCCCTAGTCCATGAACCTGCTACCCCCGGGCCCTTCTTGATTTCCCCACCCCGTTCTGACCCCGCCTCGTCTTTGGACCACTCTTCGGACACTCCTCATGCCTCTGTACCTCTTGCCGGTGCTGTTTCCTCACCTGCTTCAGGTACCGAGGCCTCGACTGACTCCTTCAATTTATCTGACCTTCGCTCTCCTCTGACTATGCTTCCGGCCTCTCCCTCTACGGTGCGGCAATTTTCGAATCGCTGGCCCGTTCCACGTCGGACCAACTCTGGTCCCACGCCTAAACGTCAACAACAATTACCTGCTGATGATACTTCTCCACCCTCTTGTTCTTCTCAGAAAAGATCGACACGTCCTTCACTACCTTTCCACGCTCGGTTTCAGACTGCACAATGGACTAAATTCTTCACTTTACGACCGACTTCCTCTACTGCCTATCTTTCTGACCACAGTATTGGCAAAGCACTCCTACGCCATGTTGGTAAAGATATTTCTTTTCATGCTCTTAAGAGCTGTATGCGCATCATCACCGTACAGAATGCTACCCAGGCTCATGAGCTTTCTCGTCTTTCCCATATCGATACTGTTCCTGTCACTATTGAAAAACATCATTCCCTCAATTCTTGTAGTGGTACCGTCATTCTGCCCCATACTATAGTTCAACAAAATTTCCAGACATGTGGCACTGACATTCTTGAAGAGCTGGAACTCCAAGATCTCCCAATCCTCAAGGTAGACACTTATGTTCTTCCTGCCCGCGGGGAGACGATACCCTAGCAATGTGGCTCGTTTAACTTTTGACAGCCGTGAACTCCCATCCTCAGTTTATGTAGCAGGACATCGGTTACAAGTTCGAAAGGTGATCCCTACACCGCAACAGTGTAGAAATTGCTGGCGATTTGGCCATCCAGCGAAATATTGCAGATCTATCGCCGAATGCCCGGTCTGTGGTGCCGATGACCATTCTAATGTGTCTTGCAATCGACCTCCCTCTTGCCTTAATTGTCATGAGGCTCACCCTTCATACTCTCGCCATTGTCAAGTCTACTTAAACGAGCGGGAAATCAGTTACCTCAAAGAGGCAGAAGGTCTCCCTTATGCCATGGCAGTTTCTCATCTCAGCCTCCAAGGGAGACTACCTCGTGTTTCTTATTCCCGTGTTTCAAAACGTCCCCCCGCTTCTGGGATCCCATCTTCTGCAACCACCTCTGTGGTTACCTCTCCCATAGTCACTCCTGTATCTAATTCTTTTGCTGTCCTAGGCTTAGACGTCCCTACTTCAACGCCTCAGTCTGATCTCGCTTCTTCGTGTTCTCCCTCACAAGCCTCAGTAGCGACGAGATCTCGTATGACACCTCCTCCTAATCATCCCTCTACTTCTCAAAAGTCAAAAAAAGGTCCGTTAACACCTTCTACCCATCTTCCACCTCCTCATTTTACCTTCCCTGTCTCTGTACCTGGTTCTTCCCCTCTCACTGGCTCTGTTACAAGTGTAGAGGTTCACCCTCCTCCTCATACTGTACCTTCCTCCCCTGTTCCCTCCCAAGTTTCTTCCTCTTCTGCCACCTCCCAGGTTTCTGCCTCTTCTGTCCCCCTCCACGCTTCTCCAGTTCCCTCCACCCTTTCGCCCCCCCCTACCTTGGTACAGTCCATTACAGTTCCAATCTTTACTCATCCTCCCCCTACCATTTCCAATATTGTCTCCCATACGACGTCTCTGAATTCCGAAACACTTGAAGCAATCTTTGAATATATTGCAGAGACCAAACCATCAATGGACACTGATCCACCCTCCGTTCCTTCTCTCTCCTCTGCTCCATCTGCGCAACTCCTTTCTTCACAGCGCACCATTCCTTCGCTGCTTGAATGTTTTCCACTGCCTCCGCATGTGAACTTTTCTAACCCCTCTAGTCCGTAGGAACCCTTACCTGCGGATTTCAGGTATCTTTATCATTGCCAGTCATGGCCTATTTACAGTGGAATATACACGGCTTCAGGGGTAATCGGGGTGAGCTTCAGATGTTACTCTCCCAGTTTTCCCCTGTTGGTGTTTGCTTACAGGAACCAAAATTACACTCTGCTGTTATCTCTCCCATCTCAGGCTATAATTTATTGTATTCTTCAGATCCTTTTCCTGATGGGACCTTTAATGAAAGTGCCCTTCTTCTACGCACTGATATTCCGTACCATCAGCTATTTGTTTGTACTTCGCTGCATTACACAGCAGCCCGTATCCACTTGCATAGGTGGTATACGCTCTGTTCTTTATATCTCTCTCCTTCTCGGGCATTATCTATTCCGGATATTGCCTTTCTTGTTTTGTCATTACCGCCACCGATTCTGTTACTTGGCGATTTTAATGCCCACCATTTCCTCTGGGGGGGGGTCTCACTGTGATTCCCGTGGCACTCAGTTAGAGGCTTTTCTTGCCACCCACCCCCTCCATGTTTTAAATACAGGTACTCACACCCATTTTGATCCTTGGACTTTACATCTCTCTTGCATCGATCTCTCAGTCTGCTCTTCCTCCGCCGCATTAGACTTCACTTGGTCTGTTCTCCCGGACTTACATGACAGCGATCATTTCCCAATCATTCTTACTTCCCCTTCATATTCACCACCTCTTCGCATCCCACCCCTGGCAATTTGATCAGGCAAATTGGAACCTTTATCCACCTAACTGTTTTTAGAGAGGTTCCTTCTTCGTCCTCCATCGATGAGCTTTTACACCTCTTCTCGTCCTCCGTTTTAACCGCAGCTTCTAATTGTATACCCAAACTTGGGCAGGCATTCTCAGAAATGCGTGCCTTGGTGGTCTCCTGCTTGTGCTCGTGCCCGTACGTTTGAAACGTGCTGCATGGGGCAGGTACCGGTACAATAGAACCACAGAGAGACTTCTTGATTTTAAGCAGAAGTGTGCGATCGCTCGCCGTGTCATCCGTGATGCTAAACGCACTTGCTGGCGAGATTATGTCTCACCATCACCTCTGCTTCCTCTATGAGTGCAGTCTGGAAAAAAGTACGAAAACTGAGTGGTAAATATTCTCCTGACCCGGCTCCTGTTCTGCGGGTTGCCGGTGTTGATATAGCAAACCCACTAGATGTTGCCAATGAAATTGGCAATCATGTGGTCCGTATTTCTCAGGGACTCCATCTATGCCCCTCATTTCTTTCCTCAAAGTCTGCCAGAGAGTTAGCACCCTTGGACTTTTCTTCTCTCAGAGAAGAACAGTATAATGTGCCTTTTACACTTCAAGAACTGGAGGCAACACTCTCAGCTTGCCGATCATCGGCAGCTGGGCCCGACGACATTCATATTCGTATGCTACAACATTTACATCAGTCAGCCCTTGCAGTCCTATTACGCCTTTACAATCTTATTTGGTCACAAGAAGTTCTTCCACAGCTGTGGAAATCCGCCATTGTTCTCCCTTTCCGCAAACCAGGCACTATGGGACGTGAAGCCTCCCACTATCGTCCCATTGCTCTTACCAGTGCAGTTTGCAAAGTGATGGAACGCCTAGTAAATAGACGTTTAGTGTGGTATTTAGAGACACACAACAGTCTCTCCACTCGTCAACATGGCTTTCATAAGGGACGTTCTACCATAGACCCCTTACTATGCTTGGATACGTATGTTCGTAATGCCTTTGCGAATAACCACTCAGTTATTGCCATATTTTTTGACCTTGAGAAGGCATATGACACAACTTGGAGGCATAATATTTTAGCCCAAGCCCACTCCTTAGGCCTTCGAGGCAATCTACCATCCTTCCTTAAGAACTTTTTAACTGACAGGCATTTCCGTGTTCGGGTTAATAATGTGCTCTCCCCGGACTTTATCCAAGCTGAAGGTGTCCCCCAGGGATGTGTTCTGAGCACAACACTTTTTCTCCTTGCTATTAATGATTTGGCCTCTAGTCTTCCATCAAATATTTGGTCATCACTCTATGTTGATGACTTCGCTATTGCCTGTGCAGGCGCTGACTGTCACCTCATTACAGTTTCTCTCCAGCATGCAGTCGACCGTGTTTCCAATTGGGCCACCACACATGGGTTTAAATTTTCCAGCACTAAAACCCACCAAATTACTTTCACTAGACGCTCTGTCATCTCCGATCATCCTTTGTACCTCTATGGCTCCCGTATCCCTGAACGTGATAGTCAAGTTTCTGGGCCTCCTCTTTGACTGTAGGTTATCCTGGAAACCTCACATTACCTCTCTGAAGGCAACTTGTCACAGCCGGCTGAACCTTCTTAAAACCCTTGCTCATCTTTCATGGGGAGCTGATTGTCGAACCCTCCTTCGCCTACATTCCACCCTCATTTTATCGAAACTTGATTATGGTGACCAGATCTATTCAGCGGCATCTCCTGCTACTCTCTCTAGCCTTAACCCCATTCATCACAAAGGATTACGTTTATGCCTTGGTGCTTTTCGCTCTTCCCCTGTTGAGAGCCTCTATGCAGAAGCGAACGTTCCATCCTTATCCGATCGCCGTGATGCCCATTGCCTTCGCTACTATGTATGCTCTCATGATCTCCGCAATCCTTCCATTTATAGAATGGTCACTGATATTAGTAGACATTCTTTATTTGTTCGCCGCCCCTGTTTACTCCGTCCCTTCTCTCTTCGCCTTCATTCGCTCTTGTCTTCTCTTCAATTACCACCTTTCTATGTTCATGTAGCATCTCACTTTTCCCTACCCCCCTGGGAAGTTCCAGCTGTTCGAGTCTGTTCTTTCTCTCTCCCTTGCTCGAAAGCCCAACTGTCTACGGTCGCTTCCTGCTCTCTTTTTTCTTGACCACTTTCACTCTCATTCTCATGCCATTGCTGTGTACATAGATGGCTCTAAGTCTTCTGACGGCGTAGGATTCGCAGCAGTGTTTCCGGACAGCGTCGTACGAGGGCATTTACTATCTTCGGCTAGTATTTTTACTGCTGAATTGTATGCCATCCTTGCAGCACTTATCCGTATTGCATCTATGCCTGTGTCATCATTTGTGGTTGTCTCAGACTCCCTTAGTGCTTTACAGGCTATACAGAAATTTGATATACCTCACCCCTTAGTCCTCCGTATCCAACTTTGGCTACGCCACATCTTTACCAAGCATAAAGATATTGTTTTTTGTTGGGTACCTGGTCATGTTGATGTACAGGGCAATGAACAGGCAGATACTGCTGCGCGGTCAGCAGTACATGACCTACCAGTTTCATATAGAGGTATTCCATTTACGGACTATTTTGCTGCAATATCTTCCCACCTTCACACCCGTTGGCAACAACGTTGGTCTACTATGCTCGGCAACAAACTTCAGTCTATTAAACCGAGTATAGGTTACTGGCCGTCTTCTTATCACCAGTGTCGAGGTTGGGAGACTACTCTCTCCCGTCTTCGCATTGGCCATACTCGTCTTACTCATGGATATCTCATGGAGAGGCACCCTGTCCTCTCTGTGAGAATTGCCAAGCTCCATTATCAGTCAACCACATTCTGTTGGACTGCCCACTTTATCAACGAGCACGCAGAATTTACCTCCGTTGTCGTCTACGCTCCGCTGCTCTCTCTTTACCTTCCCTTCTTGCTGATGGACCCACCTTTCATCCGGACTCTCTCACTGACTTTTTGACAACAACTGACTTGCTTCACAAATTCTGATACCGTCAGCCCTTTCTACTTCAATCTCTTGCTACCCTCTACCCCCGTACTATCCCCTGCCCCGCTGTTTTCTGTAACCTACTGATCATCCCTCTTCCCTTCTGCCATCCAATACCCTCGCTTCCTTCCCTACCCTGCAGCGCTGTATAGCCCTTGTGGCTTAGCGCTTCTTCTTTTTGATTATAATAATAATAATAATGGAGAGGGGCTCTTGATCTAGGGAATTGGATCTATGCTCCAGTTCCCTGAATTGAGTCTGAATACCTTCCATCCCCCACCCCCACATGCACTGTACAATCCTACGGGTTTAACACTCCCCGATGATTATAATAATCCACCTTGCTACGTTCTGATCCATTATTCTGTTTTGTGTTTATTCTGACTTTTATTCATTTTATCTACCTAATTATCTAGTTATGTATTTTTTAATTATCTCTAATGATGATGGTCCAGGATGGACTGTAACATCTAATGATCCTCTCCAAGTCTGATTTACAGTGGACCCCCGGTTAACGATTTTAATCCGTGCAAGAGGGGTAATTGTTATGCGAAATAATCGTTATGTGAATGAATTTTCCCCATAAGAAATAATGGAAATAAAATTAATCCGTGCAAGACACCCAAAAGTATGAAAAAAAAAATTTTTTACCACATGAAATGTTAATTTTAATACACACAAACTGAAAAAGGCATGCACACTTACATGACACTTACTTTTATTGAAGATCTGGTGATGATTGATGGGATGGGAGGAGGGGAGAGCATTATCTTCTTACTGTTTAGAAGGGGAATCCCCTTCCATTAGGACTTGAGGTAGCAAGTCCTTTTCCGGGGTTACTTCCCTTCTTCTTTTAATGCCACTAGGACCAGCTTGAGAGTCACTGGACCTCTGTCGCACAACAAATCTGTCCATAGAGCTCTGTACCTCCCGTTCCTTTACGATTTGTCTAAAATGGGCCACAACATTGTCATTGAAATAGTCACCAGCACGGCTTGCAACAGCTGTGTGAGGGTGATTTTCATCCATAAAGGTTTGCAGTTCAACCCACTGTGCACATATTTCCTTAATCTTTGAAGTAGGCACAATGGATTCCACAACTGGCATAGGCTTCTCAGGGTTAGCCCCAAACCCTTCAAAATCTTTCTTAATTTCCATACTAATTCTCACCCTTTTTACCACAGGGTTGGCACTAGAAGCTTTCTTGGGGCCCATGGTCACTTATTTTCCAGAAACACCACCGAAAACACTGTAATAATACGAAATATTCCGAGTGTATGCTTGGATGTTAGCGCGGAGGCTGCCTGGTAAACAATGGCACGGGCGGCACATGTGAGGCTGGGTGAGGGCGCACATTGGACGCGTCTCGGACGAAAATCGGTGAGCGGGTTTTTAATCGGTATGCGCGGCAAAAATTTTGCGATTAAAGTAAGCGGTATGCGAAATAATCGCTATGTGATGCCATCGTTATGCGGGGGTCCACTGTATATGTGAATTCTTGCATTAACTAATTTAATTACAGTGCTTTCTCTTTGTGTTTCTTATTGCCTATATGAATTTTCAGTGGTGAGATCCAGCTCTCAGTTCTGCCTCTTAAGTTATAACTGATTGATGTGCATGGGCTTCTCATACCTAGTTCTGAACACCTGTATGGAGTCTGCTCCTAAATCATTGCTCAGTCCATTTCTCCTCTTTGTCACTCTTATGATGAAGAAATTTCTTGTTATATCTGACTTATTTGGGTGTATAATTTCCAGTGGTGCTCCTTGTTGTATCCCTGGTTTGTCTATCTCTATCCACCCAGTCTATGCCCAGTAGTATTTGGTGTGTAATGATTACATCCACATTTATATATGTGTGTGGCATACTTGAGAGTGGGTTTACAAATGCCAATATAAGATGTACATTGCTGCATCCTTAAAGTTCTTTTCCTTCTAAATTTTGTGTGTGGCTAAATGCCACACATTGTATTTGACATTTATTTTAATGTATTAAATTGTAGTATCTCTCTTTTCTAGAGTCGTAAGATAAGCAGAACCCTAAGCCCATGGTGAAGTAGGTGCAGTTATTCGAATGGGGTGCCAGATGCCATCTTGCCCTAAGGTCACCCAAGACATGCTGCCTGCAAGCATGCCTCTTACTCCTTGTCTCTTAGGGAACGTTTGTGTTAAGGACACACTGCTGTGGCAGCTGATTTTCAGTTAGGATTAGGTGTATTAACTGGGTATTTGACACCCTATCAAGATATGTGTTTATTTATTGTAAGGTTAATAGCTGCTCATGGTTTCTCCAGCTTTATAAAGGATAATTGTGCAAATTTCATGTACATTCACTGTATGCGATTTACAAAATTTGTTAAAAATTCTTATAATAGGGAATTAAGTGTTAATGGTCTGAGTGAGCTTAATATAACTGCAACAGGCATTAAGTCTGGAATGCCTGTATGCAGTAAAGCAAGGGAAACCTATTCTTTATTAAAAATGAGCTTGTTGCTACTGTAACATCATTATTCTTAGATCTTAATTGAAATTTCTAGCCATCACTTATCATATGTCAAGAGTGACATTACTTATTTCTTGTCCAAATAAATTATACTGATAATGGGGGCCACATTATATCTATGAACCTTGGATAGAAATTTTGTAGTTATATTCAGTGTAACAAATGTGTCATTATAGCAATTTTTTAAATGTCTCTTTCTTTGAGTATTAGTATTCCCATTAGTATACAGTAAATATACATTGTCACACTGTACCATCAGTGTTGTCTGATTTCTTTTGAGTTATCCTTGGTAGTTTACATTATGTATGATGATTTTACTTATCTCCATGGGAAAGTGGAACAGAGTTCTTCCTCTGTAAGGCATGTGTGTTATAAGAGGTGACTAAAATGCAGGGAGCAGGGGGCTAGTAACCCCTTCTCCGGTATATATTACTAAATTTAAAGAGAAAGTTTCGTGGGATATGGCTGGATTGTTGAAAGAAGAATTGTACTTGTGTATACTTACCTCACTCATTCTTTGTTGGTTGGCTAACAAAAATTTTTTTTTTCTGGGAACAACTTTCAAAGGGAAAGGCATATCCTCTTGTTAGTGAAGGGTTTGCACAATAATGCAATTTTTAATATGTTAAAAATGAAACTCTCAAATATATCAATATATTTAATTAGTATTAACATTTGGTGTCAATAATACATGTTACAACTTTTTGGCATACAAAATGAATTTAACAAATAAATGGCTGAAACCTAGACTGGCATGCTTATCACGACACTGTACGAGTATACTGAATACTCGTTACAGTATATTGGATTTTGAGGATTAACAGATCTCTTGAGATTATTATAATCAAAAAGAAGTGCTAAGCCACAAGGGCTAGATCTCTTGAGAACTGATTATATATGTACAATATTTACAAAAGATTAACATTTTGTTTGAATATCAGATCAAAATGAAAACAAAGACAAAACTAGTCGGAAAGAAACTTTTGAGACACTGCTCTAGAGAGCCCTTTTTTTAATTTAAGTCGAGCTTTAAGTATATGTCTCAATAAATTTAGGCTTAAACTAAATGCGTCTTTGTTTTTCAAAAAAGTTTGCAATTAATCCACACACTGGGTAAAAAATTAATTTTTTTTTTTTAACATGCTGGCCATCTCCCAAGTCAGGGTGACCTGAAAAAAGAAACACTTTCACCATCATTTACACTATCACTGTCTTGCCAGAGAGTCAAGCCTGTAGGGGTCATACAGAGCCTGAAGGAATGGGAGGCAATCAGGTACACACTAAGGAAGGGAGGTCAGGTCCAATTCCTTACAGTTCTTAGATCAAGAGCCCTCCACTGGCTTCAAATAACTTTCCTTGAAGGGAAACATTAAACCATATTTTGACCCATTCTAGACCATTATTATAATGATAATGAAGTGCTAGACCCATAAGGGTCCTGAACCATCATCAGTAGTCCAGAATGGTCTAAAACCTTATCTAAAGTTTCCTTTGCTGTATAGCCCTTGTGGCTTAGCACTTCTTTTTGATTATAAATAATAATAATAATAATAATAAATAATAAAGTTTCCTTTCCAAACAGTGTGTTAGTCATGAATCGTTCTGGAAATGGTAAAGTGACTTATTGGTTATTTACAAAATGATTACACAAAAAATGAAGTGGTACAGCCAAACCAAATTTAACTATAAAAATTAGTGTAGAAATAACCCATGATATGCTTTTTCAAAAGTAAAGTAAGAAGTATTGTTATAAAATTCTGGTAGTGGCTAAACCTAAAGGGGTCATAAAGCACCTGGGGAATGGGAGGCAATCAGGTCCAAGACTAAGAAGGGGAAGCCAGCATCAAGATGTCGACTAAAAAAGGAATTGTGTTCTTAATCTTTTTTTTTCAACACGTCAGCCATCTCCCACTGAGGCAGGTTCACCCAAAAAAGAAACGCTTTTCTATCATTCAACACTTTTACCACCATTCACACATAATCACTGTCTTTGCAGGAGCGCTCAGATACGACTAATATTTTTATATATTTTTAATATATTTATAGATGGGGTTGTAAGAGAAGTAAATGCGAGGGTCTTGGCAAGAGGCGTGGAGTTAAAAGATAAAGAATCACACACAAAGTGGGAGTTGTCACAGCTGCTCTTTGCTGATGACACTGTGCTCTTGGGAGATTCTGAAGAGAAGTTGCAGAGATTGGTGGATGAATTTGGTAGGGTGTGCAAAAGAAGAAAATTAAAGGTGAATACAGGAAAGAGTAAGGTTATGAGGATAACAAAAAGATTAGGTGATGAAAGATTGAATATCAGATTGGAGGGAGAGAGTATGGAGGAGGTGAACGTATTCAGATATTTGGGAGTGGACGTGTCAGCGGATGGGTCTATGAAAGATGAGGTGAATCATAGAATTGATGAGGGAAAAAGAGTGAGTGGTGCACTTAGGAGTCTGTGGAGACAAAGAACTTTGTCCTTGGAGGCAAAGAGGGGAATGTATGAGAGTATAGTTTTACCAACTCTCTTATATGGGTGTGAAGCGTGGGTGATGAATGTTGCAGCGAGGAGAAGGCTGGAGGCAGTGGAGATGTCGTGTCTGAGGGCAATGTGTGGTGTGAATATAATGCAGAGAATTCGTAGTTTGGAAGTTAGGAGGAGGTGCGGGATTACCAAAACTGTTGTCCAGAGGGCTGAGGAAGGGTTGTTGAGGTGGTTCGGACATGTAGAGAGAATGGAGCGAAACAGAATGACTTCAAGAGTGTATCAGTCTGTAGTGGAAGGAAGGCGGGGTAGGGGTCGGCCTAGGAAGGGTTGGAGGGAGGGGTAAAGGAGGTTTTGCGTGCGAGGGCTTGGACTTCCAGCAGGCATGCGTGAGCGTGTTTGATAGGAGTGAATGGAGACAAATGGTTTTTAATACTTGACGTGCTGTTGGAGTGTGAGCAAAGTAACATTTATGAAGGGATTCAGGGAAACCGGCAGGCCGGACTTGAGTCCTGGAGATGGGAAGTACAGTGCCTGCACTCTGAAGGAGGGGTGTTAATGTTGCAGTTTAAAAACTGTAGTGTAAAGCACCCTTCTGGCAAGACAGTGATGGAGTGAATGATGGTGAAAGTTTTTCTTTTTCGGGCCACCCTGCCTTGGTGGGAATCGGCCAGTGTGATAATAAAAAATAAAATTTTTAATATTTTTATATATATGGCACATGCTCCTGATTAACCCTTAAACGGTCCAAACAAATCGACGTTCAAATTCGTAGTACTACAAAAGTAGCTCTACTTTTTTAAACATATTTTCAAATGTAACAAAAAAAAATGTAGATAAAAGTTTTTTTTACACATTTTCAAATGTAAAACAAAAAAGATCTACATTTTTTTACATACTTTCAGATGTTGAAAAAACGTATATATACGTTTGGACCATTTAAGGGTTAAGCAACTTACAAATGTGTTGTTTGTAAAGAAAATAATAGTACGAAGGCTGTGGTCACTGCAGCTTGTCTGTATTAAACTATTTGGTTCTCAAATGCCCATTATTATTATAATCATAACCAAGTGCTAAAATCACAAGGTCATACAGTGTCTCGAATGCCCCGTTTGTAAGCATGGATGTGAAAGTTACAAGACCTAATTTATTGATCATTTTCCCTAAGCTCTTGTAAAACACTGGCAGCAAAAGTTGTAATATTTACAGAGCACTTTGATGGTGTAGGTCACCCAACAATTTTAGCAATATTATTACAATCAATACTAAGTGCTAAATCCACACTGGTCATACTGCTCTCTTAGCAATAAAAACTTACAGTAAACCCTTGATATAATGGACTTTAAAATGAACAAAATCTGCTGGGTAAGCTGTATACATTTCACTCCTTTACTTTCAATGTTTAGTACAATATGCGATAACTAGAGTGAGTGGGGGTGGGTGGGTGTGTACTCACCTATTTGTAGTTGCAGGAGTCGAGTCACAGCTCCTGGCCCCGCCTCTTCCTGCTCCATGAGCTTTATCATACCTCCTCTTAAAGCTATGTATGGATCCTGCCTCCTTGCCAGACTGTTTCACTTCCTGACAACTCTATTACTGAAGAAATACTTCCTAACATCCCTTAGACTCATCTGAGTCTTCAACTTCTAATTGTGACCCCTTGTTTTTGTGTCCCATCTCTGGAACATCCTGTCTCTGTCCACCTTATCTATTCCTTGCAGTATTTTGTATGTCATGTGCATGCACACGTGTGTGTATACATGTGTTTGTGTATACATGTGTGAGTGCATGTGGGGGGGGGGGGTCAGTATTATATTTATTTATACAATAAAATACTTGTGTGGTGTTTTTGATATTTTTAATATTTTGATTTTTAAGGATACTCAAGACAATTTCCCAATTAATTCATTATATGAAGGGGTTAATATATGTATAAAACAAACACAAGCACAATATAATAAAGCAAAGATAAAATTAACAAATAATAAAAACTACTAACATGAATCAAATGTTCAATATGACCTTGGTGTCTATATTAACAACAGACAAACACACTTGCTTTCAGTATCACACATACAATACAAAAACTATAAATCATTACTTTAAATATTCATATATCACCATTATTCATAAGTTATTATGATCAAAATCAAGCACTAAACTCTCATTGTAGAGAGAGATTGGCTACAAAACCCTGAACACTTGGCAGCAGTTGTTTTTTCACCCGACCTAATACCTTACTTAAGTTCATCTTGTGTAGATTTTGTTTTCCTCTCTCAGCATTCACAGTATTTCTTGCACTAATTTATGACTTCATGCAGTGTTGCTGCTAAGTGGAACATGACTTCCAGACAGGCTTCTGCATCTTCTGGGCTCTTGATTGTATTGCAGGGTTGATCCTCTAGAAGTACTACATTAAGCTTTAACATGATGTTTTCCAAATTATTATTATAATCAAAAAGAAGCGCTAAGCCACAAGGGCTATACAGCGCTGCAGGGTAGGGAAGGAAGCGAGGGTATTGGATGGCAGAAGGGAGGAGGGGATGTTTTCCAAAGGCTCCTTGGTAACTTTGTTTTGGTATTGCACTGACTTGTGAGAGAGTGCTTGTTCCAAGTACATCATCTACAAGAGGTATTTCTGAAGGCAGTTTTGCTTTAATTTTGTTCACCTTGCCATCACTCTCTGGAGCTTCCTTGAGTTTAGCATCATTTGGACACACT